TTCTTCCTTTGAATATGTAAAAGTAATTTCAGCTTTTGCTGCCAGGGGTGATAAAAAGCTAATAATAACACTGCAGCATCTACTGTAATTGAAGAGCCTGTTCCACCAAGTTACACCTAGCTTTAATTCTCTTATGAAGCTGTCAGCCAAACCCAAGCCTGTGATCGAAGGGAAATTTATCAAGCAACTGAGTTCCAGTGTGGAGAGAACTGCAGGTGCTGACCAGTTCACTTTAGACCTGCATTATGAGTATCATTACAACCATGATTAGGCATTCAAGACCAAGGCATTAATTTGCTATCGTAGATGCTGACATTCTGTCTTTTCAAAGCATGGTGTTTGCATGAAAGTCTAGGAAGAAATAGACAGGCCTGACTTGATGTAATTAATGTGGGAAAGCAGAAATAAACAGTCTCCCCTTCTTTTGTCTTCCCAAATAGCTGGGTTGGAAGTTCTCCCTAGCAGCTCGTGGTGTAAAACTGATGGAAACGTGTTCAGAATCCCCACTTTGATATGGGCATGGTGGATTGATGAGCATGGATTTGCTGCTGTCAGTGCACCACTCCATTAGAAACCAGGCTGCTGTAATTAACATTTACAAGACTAGTCTGGCAGACCTCTCTGGTTTGTTTTTATTCAGCATCCCCTGGCAGGGGCTGTACACTTTTCTGGTAAGAAGGTCTGTAGCCTTAGATGGATGCAGGCAGCACAGCTGTTGGTCAGTGACAATGGCAGTGGTGGAGGAGCAAGTACTGGGGCCCCAGCAGGTTCTTCTCCAGGCACTGGTGCCTTGGCACTGCTCTACAAAGCAGGGTCTGCCAGAGACCCTCTGCTCGGTGTGACGGGGAGGGCAACAAAGGCTGGATCTTAAGGGTGCTGGGACAGCTCAAATACAGGTTTCTCCAAAACTGATCCTGCTTCCTCGGTGGGAGATCAGCCAATTCACCTGCCCTTCCCTTCCTGCTCTTTTCCTTTGCTCCACAAGTACTTTCTCTGTCTGCAGCAGGGAGTCCTTGCATTTATGCTTCATCACAATGGAGACAGTGCTGGGCATGTCTCAGGAGATGAGGAGGGTCCAGTGGCACTGGCAGATCTTTGCAGGGAAAGGCTCCCTCACACTGATTGTTTACAGTCCCAGAGAAAGGGCTGAACTCAAGTCAGATCAAGAGAAGGACAACAATGGAAAGAGGTTTCTGTTAAGTAGCTGAATTTGGTCATCCCTTGGCAGGACCATCAGAAACATAAATAGTTTAAAGCAGACCTTGCTGATACTGTTCCTTAGAGAGCAACAGTATGCAAGTACACCAAGAAATAGTTACATATTTGATAATTCCTAGCAGTAGCAAACTGCAAATCATTTGGCCTAGGAGGGGGGAGCTAACAGCTGAGGTGTCAATATGACTTGAACTTGTGTCAGATAACCTGGTAATAATCTAAAAAATAATCATGTTGTTTCACCCCTGTAGCATTACTGGCTAAGATTAAGGTGTGCTTTAATGTAGGACTCAACAAATGCATTTGAAAGGCATGCTCAGCCCTCACTATAGGGGAGGTTTCCTGTTCCTAAATTAGATGACAGTGACAGTTTTGATCTCCCTTTCATCCTAAACTGGCCTCTCTGAGGAATGGTATTGATCCATGTAAGTATTTATGAGTAGTTTAGTGCTGTCAGAACAGCACATGCATTACTGGGTAGCAATCTGTGGTTAGATCTTTGAGGTGAAGATAATCCTGAATGCTCTAAACAGCGGGGTCAAGTAATTTTTATTATGTGCTTTGTTTATACTGTCAAGATATTAGTTTAACAGCAGTTAACACAGATGAAAGTTCAGCTGAGGAAGTGGACTCAATCCCCTGGACTAGCTGAGCTGTTGTTCCCTGTGCTCAGAGTAATCACGGGGCCTGGAGGAACTCTGACTCAACAGACTTTGTCCTCAGCAAGAGCCCCCAAAGGCTGCTTTGGCAGTCAGCTGCCTTCACTAAGTATCCTTTTTGGCAGGATTTGAATATTCGCACTGGGAGCCTGGATGAGGAACAGCACAGTAGCTACTGCAGTGGCTGTGTTACCATCACATTGCAGTGATAAATAAACAGCATAGAATAATATTCATCTGCCAGCATCCAAAAGGCCATCACATGTGTCAGCCTGAGGTTAGCTGGCGCCTTCAGAGATTTTAACCACTCCATTTCTGGGAAGGAGAGAGGGACTGATGGTGAAAGGAAGTTTCTAGCTATGGAGAAAGCTTCTAATTGGGAACCATAAAGCCTTTAAAATGCAGAAAGTAAATACTAGAACAAACCAAAGCTGTGGGATTTGGCTGGTTGTTTTTATGAAGTCATACTCTCTGGGCTGCATTCATGAGTGCTGAACATCTGGGGTTCGCTTTGTTGAGACTGGAGTTTCATTTCTGTGCTAGTCGTCACACTGACACTTTATTTTTTCCCAGCATGATCACTATTTTTTGCCTTCTGAATGTCAGCAGTAGACTGAACTTTACCTATATCTGACTCAGAAAAAGATTTAAGGGGAAAAACTCATTTAACTCAGAGTTTCTCAGCCAAAATCCTGGAGTGAGTAAGCAACAGGAACTCTGAGGAAACTGGAATTCTTTACACTGCTAAAATTTGGGCCTTAAAAAATAAATATAGGATTGAAAAAGATTTTGACTAGAAGTTGGGCTATTTTTATTTAGTTTTAAGAAAGGAGAAAACAGAACATTTTAAATAAAATTCCAGGTTTGCACAATTAGATGCCAGATTAGAATTGGCCATGAATAGCATCGGAAGATACTCTGCTGTGAAGACAGAGAGAGAATTCAGAATGTGGTCCTTTCCCTGGAAAAGATAAAGGCAGAGTTTTCTAATGTATTATTTAACACTTGTTATGCAGTGCATTAAGCAGTCACTGAGAGGAAAGCTTTTAAAAACCAACAACCTCTCTGATAGCATTAAATCTTACCTTAGATTTTTTGTTAAGTCAATAGTAAGAAAATAAACAAATTAATACATTTCAGTCTGCCCGATTTATAGATGCCAATCAAGTTACAATGCTGGACATGGCCAGCCCAAAGAGGGGAATAGATTTACCTGAGTGGGGTCTTAATTTAATCAGCTGGCCCCAGAGAGCTGAAGTCAGCAGGCTAGGATGATATAAGAGGCAGCAGAGAAATAACACCTTTACTGCAGTTGCAAAGGAGAATGACAGTGATGGAAAGGACTCTAGGCAGTGTCAGAACACACCTATTTCCATGATTTATTCTTAATTTACTTTAATGACAGTCTGAAGGTTGTCCATTTTTCTTTAAATGTCCTCAGAATACTGATATTTTCTAAACATTTGGAGCATGGTTTTTCCTCCCCCTCCTTTCTGTTAGCTCCATTGCAGGTTGGAATCAAAGAGGAGCTAGGGACATGTTTTGCCATAAGGAATTTGGAGTGCACTGTTAGACTACCCTTTTTTCACTGTATCCCTTGCCAACCAGTGTCCCTTCCCTGCAGTCCCTCTTGAGTGAGGTCTAGGAGTCACACATTCCTCTGGGATTAATGTTGATATTATGATAAAATGGAGGAATCCATTGCATTTCTTTTGCAATTTATTCTGGCAGAAGGACAATGTGTGCTTTCCCAATACAATAGCTCATTTTTATTATCAAGTGAATTTATTGATGGTTGTTCAGAACTAGTGACATGCAGACAATGATCTCAGATTGCATTTACATTTCTGGAGTACTTTCCATCTTTCCAATTTCTGCCAGGAGCTTGCTTCTGTGATTCAGGGTTTTTATTTTAAGATTGGACTGTTTTTTCATCTGCATTACAAATCTATGCCTTTTGCTTTCTTGTGTATGTGCACTGCTTTCATTAGTATCAGAAATCCTTTAAGCTTGGACTTGAACATTTATTGTTAATTATAAATTCTTCCAGGTAGGCATTTGTTTTTTACCAAAAACTCAGGTGTGTTTTTACAAACTGACTGTAAAATCATCATCCCTTCAGCAGATGATATAGTGGGTTTTTTTCATTCTCCACAATGCCAGTGAGAGGGTTCAAGGGCAATATGATCTCGGTAATACTTGCAAATAGCTTGGGAATGTTTAGATAACTGGAGACTAATCCTTTTGTCATTAAAAAAAAAAAAATCCATGTTTTTACAATAAAGAACTACTCCTACTTTCTTCTGAATCCAGTCTTTTATATAAAAATGGGTGGAATTGCCCCAAAATGCATCTGGAAGGGGACTTACAAAAAGGAGGGGGAGCAACTTTTTACACGGGCAGATAGGGCAAGGCGTAATGATTTGAAACAAAAAGAGGAAATATTAGTTTAGATCCTAGGAAGAAGTTCTTTACTCAGAGGGTGCTGAGGCACCCTAATAGGTTGCCCAGAGAAGCTGTGGCTGCCTCATCCCTGTAAGTGTTCCAAGGCAACGTTGGATGGGGCTCAGAGCAACCTGGGATAGCAGTTGGCACCTCTGCCCGTGGCAGGGTGTTGGAACTAGAAGATCTTTAAGGTCCCGTCCAACCCAAACCATTCTATGATTCTGTTAAGTCCATATGCTTTCCAGTCTCCTCCGGCACCATCTCACCAGCTTGGCGGTTGCTTCACTGGGATCTGTTACTAAACCACTCAGTTGTAACATGGTGTTTTAAAGCATGAGACAGTTCCCATCCCAGGTGAAACCGAAGGTACTTTTTGTGAGAGAAGGTCAGGCTCTGAGAGCAGCCACTGCAATGCAGAATACCTGTTATTCTGCTCAGACAGTGTCTGTGAGTAGCCAAGTAGAGCTGGGCGGTCAGAGAAGACTTGTTGAGCAGAGCGGTGGGTGCTGAGGACAGAGGAGCCACACTGGGTCCAAATGCAACATTAGTGCAAGTGCCCCATCACTCTCTATACACATTTCAGTTGTTCAGAGTGAGTATACAACACGTTCCAGCAACAGAACTTAAAGCCCCTGTTTAAAAGATTTGTGATTAATCTTACATTTACTTTTGTGTTTTCAGATATACTCAAGGACAAGAAAACCCATCCAGAGAACAGAAACGAACCAAAACCAACTGTGAAAAAGATTGACACCACAACCACCAGAAGCACTGTCAAGTCATCCTCCAAACACAGTGTAAATGGAAGTGGGAGCAGCCCAGCCCTGAGCCCCTCCCTTGTTTTAGCAGCACTGGCAGTTCTGTGGCGTTGTCTGCTGTAGCTGTGTTGCCTTGCAGCCATTGTGCTACTGCTTCTGTTCACTGTCATTTATACCTGCAGCCTTACCCAACAGAAAACAAAACTAAATGGTTCTCTAGTTTATGTGGTATGTTAGAATAAATATGAAATGCTGTGCTGGAGTTGGCAGATACCAAATGTCATCACTTACAATATCTGGAGATAGCCTTTGGCAAAGCCCACCCACGATACAGAGGGGATGGTGACAAGGATCTGAGTAGCTTAAGTTATGGGGTAGAAGTAATGGAAAACACAGAAACTATGTATGGGTGTGTTACTGCTTTTATCGATTTCATTTGCTAGAATTTGACTGGCTGGTTTTGTTTGTTTAATTTTTCTGATAAGTTATATGAATGGTCAGTCTTCAAATTCAAGCCAATCCATACTTTATGTTTTCAGTGAACAGCTAACAAGCTGTGTCTACAGTTCATAGAATGTTAAGGGGTTGGAATGGACCTTAAAGATCATCTAGTCCCAATACCCCTGCTATGAGCAGCAACATCTCCCACTAGAGCAGGTGAAGTACTCTCTACCGGCTTGATGAAATTCCTGAGTGATCAAGAAGTTCAAAGCATGTTTGAAACTTCTTTTCACTCTTACTATTTAGATTGTAGGAAGCAACATAAAAGTGTATGGTGTGTCTAATATATCAGTATAGTTGCCTTAATTATGGAAACAAATAGAACCACTTTGTTTACTGAGGGATATAGATAGGGAGTTTCCCTGCCCCACAGAATGTCATTAACAAATGCTTAAGCGTATGTTCAAGGCTTATTGGATGAATGTCCAGCAAAGGGAAACATAAATAAACATAATAATGTTTTATCCACTTGAATGCAGCTCTGTACAGAGGAAAAAAAAGGTAATTCAGTTCAAACTTACTTTGCCTATATGATGTTACATACCAACTCAAGTTTTCCATAAAGATCCCAGCGATATAAATTATTGGGAACTCCCATTAGACTCTAACTAGATTTTGTGCAGTATGGGTCCCTGAAGTCAACTGTTTCATAAACTGTGTATTATTTAATTACATTTAATGTTTAAAATTTTGTATCACGTTAGGTGTAAATGTAAAACACACTGAAATCTAGAACATTCTCTGTTTTGCCTCATCTTGATTGCTACCTTAGAAAATGTCAAATGTGCATTATTATATTACAAGGCTTTGTTTTTTAATCAATGATACATTGATGTGTTTTAAGTTTTCGGATGAAAAAGTACTATAATAACTTCTAATGAGTTAAGAGTTAATGTGTGTTTTCCAACAACTGTTTACAGTGCCATTGAATATATGTATACAAACACAACTGTTGAATACAGTGATTAATATGATAAATATATGAAACATTCGAATTGTTACTACATTTCATAACTATTACAACAGTTTAATGGCCATTTTCATGTTGCAGACTATTATTATGTACAGTTTTGTAAGATTTGATGTAAAACACTTGCCTTCATTTTTTTGTAAAACATCTCTTCGATACTTGGAGTTACACAGTCACTGACATTACTCAAAAGAAGAACCCTGTATCTTACTAACCAGCTTCAGGCTTTTTATTGACAACTTTGATTATAAAAGCCTGACTTAAAGAAGGTGCCGTGTACCAGTGCTGCTGCTGGATGTTATTACAAAGTGGCAATAATTCACAATAAGCATACAATAAATGAACAAAGGCTCGCTACACTTTGTTTTCAGACAGTATTAGTGAACTTGTCTAGTTACATTTGCAAAGGTGGGGCTTGAGTCCGATTTCTAATTTGGGCTCTTAGATCATATTTGCCAATGTAAAGGTATGATCAGAACCGTGGACACACCCAGCTGAGAAAGCAGTGTCTCTAAAGCGGCAGCAGCTAAGTTTTCTAAAAGATAATTGCATTTTAATGTTGAAACAAGTAGATAAAATGGAAAAGGTACTTACATTAACATGAAGTATTTTGTATTTTAATTCTAATTTTTCAAAATGATAAGGATATTACTATCTCTAATCAGGGCTTCCCAGTCAGATCAGTGAAAGTTAGTTTTCCCAAAAGTACTGAAATGGCTGTCCTGTGTTTTCCAGGGTTTGTGAGCTGCACCAGTCCATGGAACCATAATTAAAAATGCTGCTTCTTGTATTCATTTTCAGTACCCTTTGGAAAAGTGCTGTGGTACCTGAGGAGGTGTGCAAGTTGTGTCATTTGTACAGTGACAGAACTCTGTAATGCCTTGCAGTCCTAAAGGGTGTGTTGTGATGGCTGTTGTTGGAGAGGCTGCCCTGTCTGTACACACAGAGATGTACTTCTCAGGTGCTGACACCACCTGCTCCTGGGGTAACACCAACCACTGTGGTTTCACTGGAGCAATTCATGTCTGATGCTTGTGAACCTGACTCCTAATTTAGTGTTCTCACACTTGAGATGCTCAGTCACCATTCAAACAGGTGCACCCACATTTGCACACTGTCAGGATTCCTATGGACAGAGGTTTCGGGGCTGGGCTCTGATCCTGCCAGATTTCAGCTGTGAAGCTTAGAGTTTTCAGTTTTTCTCACCTTCAGAGAGGGAACTTGAATACCCAGAGTTAAGTGTCTTTCTGAGGTGTGTTCTGTGAAAGATTTTCAGTGGTGATCCCACTCGTGTTCAGCTGCAGCAGAGGCAGCTGCAGAAACGCTGCAGGAGTCATGGATGGAATAACTCACCCAAGGGATTATTTGTTGCTGCTAAAGGTCATAATCTTGCCAAACAGAAACCTCTGAAAAATCAAGTGTTTGAATTTGGAAGTTGGCTGGCAAGTATTTGTATGATGTAGCACTCACCTCTCAAGCTAAACAAGAGAGCCCTTTTAAAGTTTCTGTAACAAAACAGAACAGGTTCAGACCTTGGGATGAGAGAGAATCAACTCATTTCTTTGGATTCAACCAATGTTTTAATAGACACAAATTGTTGCAGAATGAGGAAAGAGGACTCCACATCAATTAATACATTTCACACTAATACATTTTACACTGTAAGAAGAGTACTGGTCAAACCAGCATGAAATATGTGTATCAAAAGTGGCGCAGTTTTTAAGGGCAATGCAGTGTATTTCTACTAATGGTTTATAATTTTTTTCCCCAGGATCAGTTGCATTTACATATTTAAAATGAATGTTTTCCATCAAACAAGACATCTATATCAGGAAAAGCAAAACCAACTGTCTGTGTCAGATAAAGGACATCCTTTTCAGATGAATAAGATACCTGGTTTACAAAACCTTATTTTGTTATCCAGAACACTGTAATTATGATGCAATTACAAAGGTCTAAATTCAAAATACTTTTCAACTTGTCTATGTAATCTCAGTGTCAAAGAAGGTACCAGTCTAAGAGCATTGCTGTAGCCTTGCCTAACAGTTATGAGTTGTATTTTTGATTGTTTATTGTTTTGCTGTGACTTCCTTTTAATATTTTGCTGTGCCCGCATTTGTGAATGCCAGCGTTGGACGGTAACTGCTGTCATACACTTGTGAGTAAAATCAATCTGCAATTTTCTGTTGATAGTGATAGAGGCTTCTTACCAGATCAGACGAAACTACTGTAGTGTCAGTTCTTAGTGTTTCACTGCTCCTGGGGCTCTGTGTTACACCAGGTTCCTGTAAGAGGTTCAGGAGGTCTGTGTGTCACTAGTCCCCTTCCTGGCTGTGGAAGTGTGAGGGAAGAGTGAATCTGGGTGCTCAGAGATGTGGGTGGCTGCAGGGGCCAGTGCATGGCCACGTCCAGCTGCCCTCTCGGAGGCCCTGAGACAGGTGTTCTCAGCTGATTTCAGGTGGCTCTTACACCTCTCCAAATCAGCTCATGGAGACTGGCCAGGCAAAGAGCAACACAGAATCTAGAGCTTGCACTTTCAGGCAACTCCACAGACATCTGCTAGGAACTGGACTGGATTTTGCAATTTAGATGCTTTACACAGTCTGGCCTCTCATTTTCAACCTTGCATTTTTTTCTGCCTTGCACATTGCCAGTGTTATGCTCTGTTTTCTGGCGCACCAGGTACTTTGTCATTGCATGAGGAACTGTGATTCTGATCTTGCAGTAATGAGCCTTTTGAGGTGCAAATGTCTGTCAGAGCTTGATAAGAGCAACACAAGTAATACTGTCCAGCTGCATTGGCTTCAGAGGCTCTGTGTATGGGAATCTGCCTGTGAGATTCACATCTCTCTGATCTCTTAAATCAGATCTGTATTTAATGTATCCCTATTTCCATTTGATACCAAGACTTCGATGTGTATCATAATTTTAAATTTGACTCTCTAATCCTGAGTCTTCTCAATATTGTCCTAATGATTGTTGTGCACAGACTTGATTTTAATGGTAATTGAGCCTTTTTGCCCAGATTCGCTGAGCTATTCTTATTCAGTATTGCACACTATTAGTGTCAAGCAAGATGTGTTCAAGTGAAAGGGGATGAAACACATTCCTACTGAGTAGGACAAAAATCCAGAAAGTTCCTATGTTCCTGAATTGGACTCTTCACATTAAACAAAATTTGAGGTTTAAGCTGAAATTACAGTTGAAATTTCCTAACTTGCATGGTGTCAGTGGGATTTCAACCTTTTATTGAAAATCAATTAGTAGTCTACCCATTTTTTTTAAGTGGGAATTAATTGATAGAGATGTTTTCCCCATGTCTCTGGACATGGGTAGACTCAACTCTGTAGAAGTAGGACACATTCTCTGTCCTGCACATTGACCATCACAGCACCATAAGTGCTTAGTGTTACGACTGGCCAAACATCTGAGGCATTTGTTTTCATTTTATAGCATTTCACTGCTCTAGTGCTTCTTGCAATAGCATATGGCCTGTGTGTTAATGAAAACTGAAACATCTTAGAGTCAATGTCATTATTGCTCAGACGTGCTAGTCAAAAAGAACACAAGAAGGTCTTCTTCCCATTTCCTCAGAAGTCTAGAATTATTCCCAATACTGAATTCTCTTCTTGTTTCCACTGTCACTCTCTAGATAACTACAATTGAATTGTATTAAATATTAAGCCACCAAAAAATAAATACTAGCCAAGAGATTGTAATAAATAGACAATAAACTCAGAAAAGGATCCTGCATTTAAAAATTGGTAATTCTCATTATCAACACTAGATTGATTTCCCCCCATGGAAATCATGTCATACCCCTTTGAGAGAAGGGCACATCAAAGAGAGGCCACTCATGCTTTCATGATGTGCATGAAGTACTTCATTAAATACCCTCTAACAACGACGTTGGTCTTTTTTTTTCCATGCACAAAATATTAATACTACCTTGCAAAATTATGCTGTTTGCACTTAATCATTTCAATTAATCTTTAGTAAATTACCCAGTACTTTGTAATTATATTTGCAGCTAATTTAGTGCCATCTTAAAATAATTCGTTGCATAATATAAGCAATTAACATTTATTCAGGGTTTTTTTCTGTTGCAGGGGGACATATAAATTATTCTCATTGGCCTTTCTGTACACCTAATTAGCACCTGTTTGAATTATTCTACAGGCTATGGACACTTCATCTGAAAAATGAATGCATTGCTAGTTTTGTGAACTCCTTGTAAATACACAGTTGTAAAAATTCCTTTTCAGGGGAAGTGTGTTTTCATACATCTTCTGGGTTTATGAGCTAAGCTAGGCTTTTAGGCTATTGCACCTAGAGTAGTTACTGACATTTTTAATACAGTTAAAATAAAAGTAGTCTGATACCTCTTTCCCATAATTAAGTACAATATCCCAGATTTGTAGCCTGTTTTATTCAGTGATGAGAAAGGAAAGCAATGAGACTTCAAGAATATAGATCTTAGTGTAACTTTCACATTTCTATAAATGCATATACAGTTTTACTAATCAGGTTATCAGAAGCATTGCTGTGCTGGAATGTTGAGGGTGCTGTATTAAACTTGTGGAAATTAAACTAGATTGCTTCAATCTGTAAGTTTCTGTAAGTGAATCTGTAAGCAAGCTCCTCGGTAAGTAGTAATTTTCTATTTAAGTGCACAGAATATCGAGGAAGATGATTTGATCTTTCTAAAAAGGAGAACTGAAAATAACTCTCAAACAATAATGCCAATATAAAATATTTACAACCTCCACACATATTAGATTGGGAAATCAAAATAAGAGACTTTTCTTAGGGTATAAAATGTTGCAGCAGATCCTCAGCTCCTGCGAATCAGTGTTAGCTCCTTTGTTTTCAGCTCAATGAGGAACATTTACCACAGCATATTATCTAGCCCAAGAATGCAAATTTCTGCCCGTCTTTTTCTAGATGCAGAAAAATCAGGTGTACCTGCAGTGATTACAAAATTTTTATTGCAGTTTTACATTGCCCCAGCCACTGATCAGGTGGTATTGTTACACCTGAAAAGCAAACCTGTGACACATGGGATGCCTTAAGTCTTCTGGCATTTTCCCTTTCCAGGGGCACAGCAGGGCCCTTCTCCAGAAGCAGCTGGTTCCACACCTTGTAACAGGGACTACAAGGAGATGTTCATTCTGCGAGTATCTCCTAGGGTAGAAATTCTTTCGTAGAGGAGGTTTGCTGATACAGATCAGGCCTTGAGGCAGATCAAGTCTGATTTTTCTGCTTCATGATAAGATATAGAATCCAGGTCTTAAACTGGCCTCAGAAACTAAGAGAGACTCAGTTGAAAGAACTGATTGTGGCTTTGATGTTTTTAGAGGAGCTTACAGAGCAAACAGCTGTGTTCTGCCTCGGAGCCTGTGTATCTTTGGGTTCAGTTCCATGTCAAATTACCTGTGAGTTTCCAGATTAGCAAAAGGACAATTTGTGAGTTACTGTAGCCTGATATTCTATAGAGAAGAAATAAAATTTCCTCCTGAGCAGAAACAAACAGTATTTTATATTATGCTAAATATCCAACTTGGAAGGAAACCAAAGGGGGATGTTGGGCCTCACAAAGACACAGAATCCCCTTAGCGGGGTTGGTTTTGGTGCCTGTGTAAGAGTTTGCCTGCTTGTCATGAAAGAGCATGTCTACTCCTTAGCTCTTTTTGGGGACTTGAGAAAAGCTACAGTTTGTAGTTCACAGATGACAAATCATTTACAGGCAAAAGTTGTGGACAAGTGCCCAAAGCAGTGAAGAAAGCAGTAAGACATTCGGTGGGGGTCTCATTGAAAAATGAGAAAGTGCATTTAATTCACATATTTGAGCTTTTGCATTAGGTATGAACAATAGAGTTGAAACCTACTCCCAAAACACTGCAGTTGCATATGGGATCAGCCTAATAGAGCAACAATACTACAGAAAATGTTTATTGGATCCCTCTAATATGGAGCCATATTAGAATAAAAATGGAAGGTAGTATACTTAACCTTGCATAAAACAACCTCTTACTGTACTTTGGTATCAGAACAAATACAGTATGAATGTTTACAGTGCACTGGGATAGAAATTCTAGTAAAATATCTGCTTTGCCATTTAGCTTTTTAAATAACTAGTTTATGGCCTCCTAGTCTGTTTTAGTTCATTTTATTTTACAGGAAATACTAGGCTGCTCCATTTGTATCTTACATTAGTTGCATCTTGGGTATTTTAAGTTGCAAAATAGATTGGTTTTGCCCTAAGCTGTACACAAGCTCTAACACATATTTCTATTTCCCAAGCACATGCTTTATTTGCAGTATATCTGCTTATATTTTTATTGAATAAATTTGTCAATTTTCTTCAGTTTGTTTTCAGCACTGGATACAATAAAGGCAATTTTAAAAAACCAGTCTGAAAACAATGTCTTAGAAGAAGAACAAGGCTACACTGAAAAGCTAAACAGCCTGTTTTGTAAAAGACAGTGAACTGTGATTGGGAATAAAAACAAGTAATCCACAGCAGGAAATTAATTATTGTCATCTGTTAAAATTTTTCTTTTTTTTCTGAATGTTTTCCATCATCTGTGATGTAAGTTACAAAGCCTGTGAAATCTTAATCTGGTCAGATGATGCTTTGAATAAAGAGTGCAGACTTTGAGAACTGCTGAGGAACTTGTAATATTTTGGTCATAGTCTGGCAAAAAAAAAAAAAGGTCTGTTTCTGCAGCTTGTAACTACTGTCTTGCTCTCCTTTTCTTTCTTGCAATAAACACAGTGAGATGTAAAATGCCTATCTGCTCTCCTGGGAGCTCTTAATATCACTGAAGAGATGCAATGCTTGTAGCAGTCTCCTGGGTAAAGGCCAGCACACCGCCCTCAACAGGTAGGACTTTTTCACTGAACTTCCATTCCTACATAGACAATCAGATTCAAGTTCTCCATTGACTAAGGTCTTGCAATAACTGTGCCATATTAAAAGCCTCTCCCCTGATTTTGATTGGGAGAACAGTACTTCTGTCTTCTTATAGGCCAGTGTACTAGCAAAAGGAAACTCCCTGCTGTTAGCTTAGTATGCTCATCACTTGTTAGTTAGAACTTTGTGGTTTTTCTTCTTTTGGTGTTTTTTTGTCAAATGCTGATTATTTTGGTTGTGCTTCTCTCTAAAGTAACTCAGGAGAGACCTTTGCTCTTATAAGCATTTCCTGAAGCTGATTTTCATGAGCTTCTCTTCACTGCTCTGTCAAAACAGCTGGTTTTTTCCTGCTTAGAAGTTGGTGGGAAAGACATTTACTGGTTTTTCTTTTTTTATTTCTTGTTTTGGTGGTACTTAGGAGCAACTCTTACAGTATTCTCAAATGGTTTGAATGAAAATTATAGGACAGACCACTGAACCGCAATAGTAAAATGAACAAATTGTTCTTTTATTATGTTTACGTGATTCTGTACCTGCTATCTACCTACCTACTTTTTTCTTACTCATTTTTTTTTTCTATTGGCATGATGGTTTGAGCGTTGCCTCCTAAAGCATCCGTGATTCCAGCTTTCTTTGATTTTTTTCAAAATGCTTCCTCTTTGAGATCTGGGAATTGCATACAGCTCATTTCACCATCTATGGAGAGTACTTTTTGCTCATATATTCGTTTTTGACCCACCTCCAAAGATAATAGCCAACAGCTCTTCTGTGTCGATGCTAAAGGAATGCTTGTTCTCTGAAGTGCTGCCTCATAAAAGCCTTTTAAGTTTAAGGATTTCACATTCATCCTCTAATTAAGCAGGTGCGTAAATCTGCAAAGCTGCTTCATTCTGAAATCCAACCTGCCTCCACTTCAAAGGATGTTGTTTCTTTTCTCAAAGATGTTTTAAAAGTGCTTCTTCGATGCCTCAGATTTGTAGGGTTATTTAAAGGCTTTGCCTCTCACCTGATCCAGTACGTATTTTCCAAAAATACAAAGAATACATCAGATCTGATGAGATGCCCCAAGGACGTCCATTATTAGCTGGAGTTCATATCTCTGACTGAAGATCAATTGCATTGAGCAACCAGGCCTTCTGCAGCCAAGTGACACTAGTGTTTGCAACTGTATAGGATCCATTCGATGGTACTCCCATCAGAAATCTAAATCTTTCCTCATTTGGTTTTTGTTGGTGGTGTTGGTTAGTTGGTTTTGGTTACAAGCAGTATGTCAGTTTGGCTCTGAAACACATCTAGAATTTGTTGTACCCAAACCCAGAGTAAAAATTAGTGGATTTAGCCTAGCTTGTCCCAGGGATTCCAATATGGTGCAGCTCCAAGTACAACTGACTTACCAGAGTGATGTCTTGCCTTATGATACTGAGAGAGGCACTGTGACTTTAGTGTGGGAAATCTTCCTACACTTCAGCTTTACATCTGAAAATAAAATGTCTTTTTTTGGTAAGTCATTATTGACTCCAGGACCCAACATAAACTATAACCATCCTAAAAGAGCAAACTGAAAATAATCCTGCTTGTGTAAGAAAAACAGGGTTTATTTGCATTTATTATGGCCAAGGAGGCTCAGAGTTAACTTTAGAAGAAACAAGGAATTCTAAAAGCAACAGAAACCCATGTCCTACAGCTACAGGTTTATGTCCTACAACCACAGATTACTACTTTCCCATCTTGCATGTTTTCAAGAAAATGACATATGAATGGAATTTGACAGAGCAAGCAGGAGGAGATTACACCAGATGTGTGAGCCCTATTCACTCACAGTGGTTACTCAGCATTTACTCAAGGATTTTGGCTCTGCAGTCATTGATCCAAAAAAAAAAAAAAAAACAAAGAGAAGACAGAGAACCTGAAAATACCCAGAGAACCTGGAAACCTCCAGAGAAGAAGGCAAACTCAATCCTTAGGGTTGGCTCCTGTAGTTCCACAGGCATTGTTCTCTCTCATCCCTGTCAGCCACAGGGCCCCATGTTTTTCCCCAGGGTCCATAGTGGGTCCTAAATCACGCAGCCATTCCCCTTTTTAAGGTACGTGCAGACAATGTTATGGATTCTCCACAGGTAGACCATGGGTCATGAAGGCAGGGGGAAGAGTTTACGTTGACCTTCCTCTACCCAGGAGCAAGAAGGGATGAATTAAGCCTCAAGCCCTTCTGTTTCAGAGCTATCCTTTCAAAAAAGGCTTTTTTTTTCATATGACCCATTATTTGTTATCCAGGCAAGTGCTGGGGCAGGAGGCTGCTCCCTTATCCTATTGCACAAACTGTTATTGTGATGGCCCTCTGTTTTCTCAGCCACAAGTGAGCAGACTTTTCTGGCTGCAAAATCAGTATCTTTCATTACTGACTAACTTGGTCTGCAGAACTAGAAAGTATTCTAGTCCTACTGGGTCTAAAATGTGGGTATTCTCAAATCCTTCAGGAATTAGAAACTGCTGAGAGTGGAAGTGGTTTTGCTTTGCCCTGAAAAGCATCCATGGTACACACACACCTGGTATGCACTGCTCTGTTTCTCTGATGAGGTCACCACTTAGCACTTGTCTTTCCTTTCTCAGTTCCACCTTAAATTTCAGGTAAAGTTCTTGAGACACATGTAGTGCATCAATTTCCTCAGGGCATTTCTTTAATTTAAGGAAAGGTGCAGAGACTCCAATTAACCTCAGATGAAGGGACCCATAGTTCATTGTCTGTCTGGGAAAATGAACCTCAGGGAACAGTACTCTTAACATTGCAGGCGCATGTCAGAACCACGATCAGAAGTCATGTTTTTGGCTCCTACTCTGGCATGTGATCTATTAGAACAGTGTGAACAAATAAGTTCATTAACCTCCCAGAGCCTTAATTTTTTTTTTCTTGCAATGAAGAAATTATGTTTCCTATGGGTGAAATCTGAAAAAAAAATCAACACAAGAATGTCAGCATGTGCTAACTCACTACGCAGTGGTAACTACCCTTACCTTTTCTTACAGGGAGAACAGGAATACTTAGAGGTAAATACACTGGTAAATAGTGACTTTCTGATGTTACTCACAAGATGATGCTACTCACAGGGTTATGTTCTTACCCACAGATATGCAAGTAACTAAGAGCAGCAGCTTGTTTTGTCTGAACAGTCGAAAGCACAAGACTGATATTTGCACATGAGCTAACAGGAATATGATTCCTCCTGTTTGATGCTCCTTGCTGCCTCCTGATTACTCATCCTTGGGCAAAACAGAACCTAGGAATGTGCTTCATCCTTGCCAAAAGACATGGCAGCACATGGAACAGTATCAAACTTATGAAAAATCCAGCTATCAGTGCCACCTGCTTTGTCCCAGTAAGCAGCTATGTCCAAAACTGAGATCCCCCAAACTATTTTACTAATACTGGAGTAAAAGGTAGTCCCAGAATGATGTAGGACACACTTATAGGGCCATTCTCCCTTTACCTTTTTTCCATGCCGTCAGCAGGGAGCTCTCTCCAGCCCTCCTATTACTCAGCAGTCAGCTCTGCCTCAGAAATTAAGTTTGTCTTCCGGATGGACAGAGCAGCAGGCGTCTTTTAGTGTAATCTCTTTCCATATATAGACAACTAGCTGTGCAGAAACACCTGTGTGCACCTGCAAGTTTCTTCAGGTCCTTAAAGGTTTTATGAGAAAACCTGGTTCATCTAAGAGACTCCAGAGAGTTGGCTCACTCACAAGGAAAATGTATTTCCTTGCCACTAAAAAAAAACAGGAATCTCTGTCCCAGTGAAAGAGCTAATTAGACACACCTGAGCCTTCCATGGCTTAGGCATTCCCTGGGTGTTCATTTCTGGGCATGGCTCTTGCTCCTTGGACAACAGAGGGCTGTGGGTTCTCACAGAGGGTAAGACGAGACAGTAATGCTCACTGTTGGCCAGAATTTACACAGCCAAAATAGGAATCCACTGTGGAACATTTCATACTGGCCAGCTACAGTGGACACTCACCTGCGGATACCTAAGCTTGTAGTCCCCAACATATCTGGGACTTGCAGTAGGGAAAAATAAAGACAGAATATTTTTGTTAGCATTTCCAGGGAGCCAGACTGGGACATGAGGCCACAGAAAAGGGGCTGAGTTACAGACTCTGGGTTAGATATAAAAGGGTTTAATTCATCATTTACCGAGAACAAAGCAAGGCAGTGATTTAATAATTGATTTAAGGTGCTTCACTTTAATGATAGTATAAGACTACTTTGTGTTGTCATATGAGCAAAGGTCAGTGAACTGTCAGTCCTCATTGTTTGGGCAGATGTTCTTTTGTGAACTCCCAAACGACTTCATGTTACATGGAAATGAGTACATGTCTTAGGTGGTTATCTTCAAAAATCAATGAGCATAAAGTTTCCAAAGAAGGCAAATCAGTAAATGGAAGGAATCGTAATTAAAGAGATGAAAAAAAAATTAAGAGCAAAAAAAAAGAAAAAAGCATTACTCAAGCATTCCCATGAGAGAAGAGTTAAAGAGTTAAGCATTACAATTCCTGCATGGATTGGTGGCTCATCTCAGTCTAAAATAACTTATCCCAGAAAAGAAAATAGAAAAGACCAAGGGTATGTGGAAAGTATAAAAAACATACAAACCCATAAAGGAGACTAATGGAGTCAGTCATGCATGAGATATATTTCATCTACCTTCGGGATTTAACTTTATGCTCTGAATTTGCTGTGACAATGGATTCAGGGTCCCCAAATAAGTATACATCCTTGTTCCACCCTGTGCAGTGCACATTCAGATCTCACAACTTTTTCCTGAACCCT